TTTTTAATTTTTTATTGTTGGTTGTTCAAAACATTACAAATTTCTTGACATATCATATTCCACACTTTGATTCAAGTGGGTTATGAACTCCCACCTTCACCCCATACACAGATTGCAGAATCACATCAGTTACACATCCATTGATTTACATATTGCCATACTAGTGTCTGTTGTGCTCCGCTGCCTTTCCCATCCTCCACCATCCCCCCTCCCCTCCTCTCCCCTCCCCTCCCCTCCTCTCTCTCTACCCCCTCCACTGTATAACCCTGAGGGTCTCCTTCCATTTCCATGCAATTTCCCTTCTCTCTCCCTTTCCCTCCCACCTCTCATCCCTGTTAAATGTTAATCTTCTTCTCCTGCTCTTCGTCCCTACTCTGATCTTAGTTACTCTCCTTATATCAAAGAAGACATTTGGCATTTGTTTTTTAGGGATTTGCTAGCTTCACTTAGCATAATCTGCTCTAATGCCATCCATTTCCCTGCAAATTCTATGATTTTGTCATTTTTTAATGCAGAGTAATACTCCATTGTGTATAAATGCCACATTGTTTTTTATCCATTCGTCTATTGAAGGGCATCTAGGTTGGTTCCACAGTCTTGCTATTGTGAATTGTGCTGCTATGAACATCAATGTAGCAGTGTCCCTGTAGCATGCTCTTTTTAGGTCTTTAGGGAATAGACCAAGAAGGGGAATAGATTTGATCCATTCACTTTTAATAACTATTTTTCTCTTCTCAAAGTTTTTAGTTGGTAAGTTGAAACTAGGTGTTTTCAGAGAGCACACTTTTATTTGTATCGTTTGGTGATCTCACAATTGAGAAAGTTAAATAGAAAACTAGAAAAAATAACTTCACATAAAGGCCTCCTGGGCCAGGCACAATGAGAAGCACAGTTACAGATCTCAGGGAGGATCACAATTAATAGAGACATGCCTTGGCTAGAGACCTGCCCACTTTACTCATGCCTCCAAATGTTACTCCAGTCCTTCCTTCCTCTCATAATAACTGCCATGTACACCTCTGCTCAGGTATCCAGAAGAAGACAGAAAAGCCCAGCTTGTCCACTGTCCAGTAAAGAAAAACATAAATGTCACAAGTTGAAATATGTTGACAATTATATAAAATATAAAAATAAGCAAAATTTCTACATATCTAAGCTACAGGCATCAATGGTGGCAATAAAATTACTAACTGGGAAACAAAGTGAAAATTACAGCATCTATGACACTGTCTACAACACAAATGTTGGCATGTTGGTGCCAGCCACTGATATGTCAGTAGTCAAGATTATCTGTCCTCAATTGAGCAGCAACTGAGTCCTGACTGTCCACTGAAGGGCGGGGAGGGGGGGGAGTACATTATTTGGCTATCTTCAAATTTTCACACTTGAAAATACAGAAAATGAACTTCAAGCTAACTTTGATTATACAACATCCTTAAATTTCCATAAAACTACACCTTGCATAATACATACTGTGCTGTTTTGAAATTTTATATAGATTTAGTCTTGTTGTTAAAAGGAAAATTTATTATCAATGCCAGAAACAGATTTAGAAAACAAATTGTTCTTGATAGCAAATGATTTGAAAAATTTTCTGAACATTTTACATGGAAACATCTTGTAAAATAGTCTGATGATTCCTACCCCAAACAAATCCATAGCAAACTCTGACCTAAATAATCATTTCCAAAATGAAAGGACCATTAAGTTCTATCTCATAAATCCCTTATCATCCTCCAAAGATTCTGGAGAGGAATTAAATTTAATCCTTCTTTACTCTGTCCATTAAAATAAATGCCCAATAGTTCAGAAATTTAAATATAAAATATGTGGCTCAGTGGTAGAGCACTTGCCTAGCAAGTGTGAGGCACTGGGTTCAATTATCAGCATTACATATAAATAAACAAATAAAATAAAGATCCATTAACAACTAATAAAATTTTTTAAAAAGAGTATCATGGAAAAGCTTTTTTGTTATCTCACAGTGTTAAAGTTCCAAGAATAATTCAATAAAGCCCTTAAACTATAAAATAAATCTTACTATATGAAGATTTTTAAACCTTCTGTTACAACAACAAACATTATGAAAAAAGCCAAAATTCAAACACACTAAGAAAAAAACTGGAACATATCACAAAGTGTTAATTGTTTAAAATATATAAAATTCCTACAAATCTCTTAGGATACAATAAGCCAAAAGATAAATAGGCAAAGCATATATTTATATTTATATGTGTGTGTGTGTGTGTGTGTGTGTGTGTGAGAGAGAGAGAGAGAGAGAGAGAATTTTAAAACACATTTAAAAATATTTCACTGTGACAGACATGTTATTAAAAAAATAAGATTATCAGACTACCAAGATCATTATAAACAAAATAAAAGTTTTCAACAAACTGGAAGAAAATATGGGAAAATAAAAATGCAATGTTGGTGTAAGTTTAAACCAGTACAACCTCTGTTTAGGACAACTTCGCAAAATCTAACAAGATATAAAAAGCACATCTTTTTAGCCCAGCAATCTTCTCTTCTAGAAAATTATGTTACTTTCACAGGTAGATATAAGATAAAAATTCATTGTAGTACATAACAAAACAGCAGCAAAAACAACCTAAATTGGTACTAAGTGTCAGCAGGACCAAATACTCCTGAAGACCACAGGATGGCTCTGAACCTCTTTATTCCTGATGTGTTTAAACACTGAGCAAGCTTCACTTCTCCAATAAGCTTTCGTGAAACATTTTACCAGAAGTCACCAGCAGTAGTTTAGAACCAGTTGATTCTTGCCTCCTCCACCCATGAGTTAAAAAAGGTGAAGAAAGGAGAAATGCTTAACCCTATAGTAGCAAGGAGGAACCCCAACTTAAAATGAATTGTTTTCAAAATAAATTTGGCTTGAAAGTGGCTTCAAGCTTTCTAGTAGCAGTAGTAAAGCAATAATTACAACAGCAAGTACTGAGCACTTACTGTATGTGCCAAGCCCTTTTAATGATGATTTCTTAATTCTCACATGCACCTTATGAGGTAGGAGCCATCATGTTCCTCATATTACAGGTGAAGAAACCAAGGCTTAGCATAATTACCCTGTTTAGGGTTACTTGGCTCGTAAATTTGCATTGAAAATACTTTTCAAGAGCTGGGGATGTGGCTCAGCCAATGGCAGAATGTTTGCCTGGCATGTGTAGGGCTGGGTTTGATCCCTAGACCTAAAACATAAACAAAAATACTTTTCAAAAATTGGTCCAAAACCACCATATAGAATATTATTTCTGTTGAAAGACCATGGTTTCCATTTTGGTCCACATTCAGCTGATTAGCCTGACCTTCCTGGTCTCAGTTATTTTACTCTGTTAGGGATTTGGGAGTGATGCTGCTGACTTACATTCAATTCTTTATCCCATCCCTCATTTGTACTAAATGTGGCTGAACACAGTTTGTATTAGGTTTACTACAAGGAAGAAGCACACACAGGAGATCACACAGCAAAGCAGCAGCCAAGCAGGAGTAGAACTCCAGCCTTGATATTTTCATTTCAGTGTTCTTTTTCTCACACCGTAATACGGAACAGTTTTTATGAAAATTATTCAATACAGTCCATGGTGCATGGTGCATGGTCAGTAAATGTCTCTTTAAATGGCACCAGACTTTATCCACAGAATGTTCAACAACCGTGACTCTAAACAGAGATATATCAAATACACTCCTCAGAAGTTATATTCTAAATATGAACAACGTACACTGTGTATAATGTAGATATATACCAAGTAAATGAACTGGAAAGAGAAATTATTTAAGAATAATTCCTATTCTAATCTAATTTACATTTCTATTTTATTCTAAATATTTTAGAATTAATTTTAGTCATGTTAAAGAGTTTCCTACAAATATACAAAACAATTCATAATGCACAAATGTCATCTTTCATTAACCATTTTTATACTAGCTAAATATTCATTGTAAATATTAGATTATTTATGTCTTTATTTTTCTGACAATCATCTTTGTAAATAATTCCTACATTGGAATAATTAAATTTATTTCCTTCTTTTTATAGAATAATAATGTATACTAGATTTGAAATTTGCTTTAATTCACAGCTATATCTAAAGGCCAAACAATTCTTGTGTACACTGTGGCAAATTTATTTCAAAAAATATCAAATTGATTTAACACAATCCTGTACTGGTCACTTTAAAAATAAGAGAAAAGGTCTACCTGATGAGATAATGGAATATTTTATACTAGAAAAAATTTGCTATATTATATACATATATTGACCAACAGACCTAATTTTGACGTATTCAAAAAGCTAAATAAATTTTCTGAATGGCTACCTTAACAACACACCATTCCCACTGCAGGAAGGTATGCCTAAAAAATATGTTCAATTTCAAAACGCTATTTATAAACCTATAAAAAAAATTTCCATAAAAAGGACCTAATTTAAAACCAAATGGACTTGGGCTCAAAACTCAACTATGCCATTTATAAATACTGTAGTCTTAGTAACTTAAATTTAGTCTTAGTTTGAAAATCTCCAACAGGAAAAATA